GGCATGTCTCGTTAGTGCTATTAGCCGTGCCTCCGTATGGTGCCGGACGCCACGTGGAGTAGAACTCTTGGCTGGTCATGCCTTCGCTCATCTCACTGGGGATGCCTTCACCTGCTTTGCAAAAGCTGGCCGTCAGGATATGCAGTGATGATAATGACGATTGATTAATGATGATGATGGTGATGGTTATAATAAGACAACAACAATGCTGCTTCTGCCCTCTTCATGCAGTGTCTCCTGCACGCGACCGCATCTCGCTTGAGACGCTGCACACAAACAGTGGGGGGATTGGGGAGGGGGGGCAGTGTTTGCTTTGCACATGGAGGCAGCCAAAGTGTTCTCCCCGTGTGAGTCTATTGGTCGACATGTGCGTCCACATGTGTCTACGTGGGTCCATCGGTCTATTTGTGAGTCTATGGGTCCACACGTGAGTCACGAGGTGTCTATGCGGGTCTATGGTTCGACATGTGAGTCTGTGTGTCCACATGTGAGTCACGAGGTGTCTATGCGGGTCTATGGTTCGACATGTGAGTCTGTGTGTCCACATGTGAGTCACGAGGTGTCTATGCGGGTCTATGGTTCGACATGTGAGTCTGTGTGTCCACATGTGAGTCACGAGGTGTCTATGCGGGTCTATGGTTCGACATGTGAGTCTGTGTGTCCACATGTGAGTCTAGAGGTGTCTATGCGGGTCTATGGTTCGACATGTGAGTCTGTGTGTCCACATGTGAGTCACGAGGTGTCTATGCGGGTCTATGGTTCGACATGTGAGTCTGTGTGTCCACATGTGAGTCTAGAGGTGTCTATGCGGGTCTATGGTTCGACATGTGAGTCTGTGTGTCCACATGTGAGTCACGAGGTGTCTATGCGGGTCTATGGTTCGACATGTGAGTCTGTGTGTCCACATGTGAGTCTAGAGGTGTCTATGCGGGTCTATGGTTCGACATGTGAGTCTGTGTGTCCACATGTGAGTCTAGAGGTGTCTATGCGGGTCTATGGTTCGACATGTGAGTCTGTGTGTCCACACGTGAGTCTAGGGGTGTCTATGCCAGTCTATAGGTCTCAGCGTGAGTCTTTGGGTCACCATGTAGTGCTATAGGTGTCTATGGGGGTCTACGGGTTTCTGTGTTAACCTATGGGTATATCGGTCTCAGTGTGAGCCTGTGGATCTTTAAGTGACTCCCCGTTGGGCCTCTACGTGACGAGCTGCGCTCAGTGCTGCTTCGTTGCAGCGTCTAAATGCGGACACATCTCAAGACGATGGGCAGAAACAGTGGCAATGTTCATTGGCATGAAGACAAAGCGAGAGAGAGAGAGAGCGTGAGAGAGCGAGCGAGCGAGGCAGTCATACATAGGCAGGGTAGCAGCAGAGGAAGGTCTTGAGCCTGGATCTGAACAGAGGCAGGGAAGCCGACAGCACGGACAGCTCGAAGGAGGTGGGGGGGGGGGGCGGAGTTCCGGGCTATAGAGAGGGCATCAGAGGAGAAGCTAAAACAAAAATATTTTTAAAATTTAATTTTACCAGGTAAGACCCCACTGAGCTACATATTTCTTTAACAGACGCGGCCTGGCTGTCACAAATGATAGCTCAACGAAGTGGCTTGTCGTCACGTTGACATTTATTGCAGCCACATGCTGTGAACGCGCGTCGATTCTAAACGTGGAGGGAAAACCGAAAAGAACGCGGGGAAAAAAAAGACATCCACGCGAGCACAGGAAGAGAGAGAGAGACACACACCACAAACTCCAAATATACAGCAGCAGGCGTCAGGGTTGGGATCGAACCCACGACCTCCTGTATACCAGGCGAGGTAGTTAACATCTCCTAGCCACCGTGATGATGATGAGAGAGAGACACCGCAAACTCCAAATATACAGCAGCAGGCGTCAGGGTTGGGATCAAACCCACGATCTCCTGTACACCAGGCGAGGTAGTTAACATCTCCTAGCCACCGTGGTGGAGGCACCAACCAGATGGGAAGTCACAGCGTTGCAAACAAACACCGCTCCCACCCTTTCAATTAACAATTCTTAATTGTGGATGTCGACAACGACTGCGCATGGAACGAGGAGGTCCCCGCATCAGCTCAGACAGGGTTCCTTTGCCTGCAAGACGAGCGGTTCACCAGCATTAATTCGAGGCAAGCCTGACTCCGCTAACACTCTGCGCGTCGAAACTGGTCCAGACTTTTGCGAGTCTTGAAACACTGGCGGATGGGGGTTGGGTATGAAATATATATTTTTTTGAATGCCCAGAGGCGGATGGATACGTGGAGAGAGGAAACATCGTCCCTGTTCGTCGATTTACTCTCTACCGCGCGGTGAAGAGGTTCCCGTCCACGGTTTGATCGATCCGCTTGACAACGAGGAGGAGGAGGGCGAGGTGGATTGTGCGGGATAAGCTTTCCCCGTGTGGGTTGTCCATGGTCAGGGCCAAGCGGAGTCTCAGCGAGCGAGAATTCCTCTCTCGTTAAAAAAAAAAACACACAAGAAGCATCATTCAGCGATTGCTGCCGCTGCTGATGACGCTGCACGAGCGCGCGTGCCCTCTCCACTCGGTCGCAAACTTCTGCTGCTGCTCCGATGGCCCTCGAAGCCCGCGTGCTCGCTAGGTGAATTGCCACATCCCTCCTTCCCCAGATTGACCCTCGAGTTTCCGCCGGAATTTTCCATCGATCCTCTCCCGGTGACAATTCAAAGCAATCCCGGGAGATTTTAATAATGGGGGATATTTAAAAGAAACGAATTTTATCATAATAATAATACTCAGAGTAACAAAAAAAATATCTCCCGGAAAAGATGTTCAGTCAGAGTTTGGCAACGCCGCTCGCTTAGGCACATGGCTGGTTTGTAAGCGGTCACAGTCACGTGGTGCGTTGGGGAAAGCTCAAGAGACCGGGACGTGGCAGGCCCAACCCGCAGTCTGGAGCTATGCCGCAGTTAAATCGACGGACAGATACGGGTTGCGATTTAGCCTCAGACGATCCCACGGTGGTGACACGTGCGTGCGCGTGACACGTGCGTGCACGCGTGACACGTGCGTGCGCGTGACACGTGCGTGCGTGCGCGTGACACGTGCGTGCGCGTGACACGTGCGTGCGCGTGACACGTGCGTGCGCGTGACACGTGCGTGCGCGTGCTGTGACGCTGCGAAAACGAGCCCGCGTGTTCGTGTCACGGGACGCGCATTCGTGAGCACCGCGTCGCACGAAGTCACCCCACGACCAAAATCACCACGGCGGCAAGCTAAGCAAGCGTTGAGACTGGGAAGCCACGTGGAGCGGTGGCCACTGATACACAAGCAGGTTTCCACAATAGGGCAGTGTGTGGGTTGACCCCGTGTTCGATATGCAGAGGGTTCGTGCAGGGGACATGTTTGATGGATTCACCAACCCGCACTGACCAGCATGGTAAAGTATGGGTCAAATAACTCCCTGCCCCTACGACCGATATGGGACTGGGAGGCCTTCATCCAGCAGCGGATTGACAAAAGATGTATGCATGTACAATGTGGGACGTGAACAGTGGTCGATCTCGATTTAAAGCTTTCGTGACTGCAGGGATCCATCTTCTTGGATCTTTCGGTAAAGTCACGTAGAAGGGAAGCAATAAAATAAGAAAAATAAAACATAATAAAATAAAATAATTCTCACGACGTTTCGGCCACAACGCAAGCGTTGTGGCCGAAACGTCGTGAGACGCAAGCGTTGTGGCCGAAACGTCGTGAGAATTATTTTATTTTATTATGTTTTATTTTTATTATTTTATTGCTTCCCTTCTACGTGACTTTACCGAAAGAACCAAGAAGATGGAGTGATCGATCTGTTTAACACGTAGACTTTCGCGACCAATATCATCCATAATAGAGATTTTCTGGGTTAGATCGCGTAGATGTACGTGATCTAACCCGAAAATCCTCCATCGTGAGTGGTCGTTCTGTTGACTCACCTCCTAGCCATAGGAATGTGGAATTTCCAACCACTGGTTCAGGCCTGGAGTAGGATTTCGAGCACTGGCCCCCTCCGCCCCATCGCAGGACCCCTCCCTCTCCACTGTCTCATTTCCATAAACAACATTTGACCTATCCACTTGGAGACACCGTATTCTCCAGACTCTTGATTATCCGAGGAGCAGACAGCTGTGATGCAGCTCTACTGTAGCACGCAGGGCCATTGACACACCGCCAGCAGGCGATCACACGGCGTGCCGCGGTGGTGCATTCTGGGATGAGTGTGAAGCGGTGGCAGCACTTCCGTTTTTGCCACCACAGAAGCCGAGCCATTGCCGCCTTGCGTCGTGCGTCAATGGACGCGTCGAGATATCTATACGTATGTTGAACTTCTTTCGCACCGTATGTTGCCAACCGTGTTAATGGGACGCGTGTAAGGCGAAGATGTGGTGACGCTCCGTCGTCCACAGTGAGCGCTTGACTAGCGTCACGTGCAATGGTAGCCCCCTGCCCCCTTGGTCCTGCTTTGCCCTGAGCCTAAATTATTTTGGACATCTCTGCACGGTCAACGTATGACGCCTTTCGTTCTGGATCGGCTCGGCAAATTAGGCAGTGGGGAAAGGGAGGCGTGGTCATGTAACACCACGGCTAGAGGCTCTGGCCGCTAGACCAACTAGGCGATTACATCGCGTTGGCCGTAGCTAAACCAAAACTATTTAAATAATTTTTCATGTTACCAGGTAAGGCTCCACTGAGGTGTAACATAACTCTTTGTTCAGAAGTGACAACGGCCATCACAAATCAAAGCGCAACGTAGTGGCGTATCATCACGTGGATATTTATAGCGGCCAAATACTCTAAACGCGTGATGTTGATTTTAAATGAGGAGGGAAACGGAGGACCTGGATAAAAATCCACGCAACCACCACGGGGAGAGAGAATATTCAAACTCCAAATATACAGGCATCATCAAAGTCAGGATCGAACCCACGACCTCCTGTATACATAACAAGATAGTTAACATCTCGCAACCGTGGCTCGCTCTGCGTACCTGTGGCCGTGCGGGCCTTGTTCTTGTGCTTGGGCGTGAAGCTGGAGTTGGAGCTGCCAAGGAGGCCGGCGTGCGAGTAGAGGGCCGGCCCGTAATCCTGCCCGCCAGCGCCCAGGTACGGCGGGTACATGGGGATGGGGTGGTGCGTCGTGGTGGCTGGCACGCTTCCACCGCCTCCACCGCCGCTCTGCTCCCCTCCCCGCGACGGGCTGCAGTTCTCCATCTTCATTCCCTGCTGTTCGGCAGCCGTCATGAGGCCAAAGTGGACGCCCTTCTGGCCGCCACCGCCGCCACCGCCGCCGCCGCCACCGCCGCCGCCGTCCTTCTCCTGCCCCGGCGCTGCCTCCGGCGTCCCGGGGTCCTTGGGCGGCGTGGGCGGGAAGCCGAAGAGATGGTGGTGGGCCGCGGGGCTTGCCGCGTGGTACGGCGCGCTCACCGGTCCGCCGGGGTGGTGGTGGTGGTGCTGGTGGTGGTGGGCCTGGTGGGCCGCGTGGGCCGCGTGAGCCGCTTGGGCCGCGTGGTGGAGGGCCCACGCCGGCGGGCCGTGAGAGGCGTGCCCGCCCAGAGCCTTGCCGCTGTCGAGCCAGGGCAGCGCCGGGTGGCTAGCGAGCAGGTGCGGACGGCATACCTGGGCACCTGCAGAAAGGGTGGGGGGGCGGGGGGGCAGTGGTGAGAATTTCCGCCGGTAATGGTCCCCACAACATTGGTGTTCATTCCCCCCACCTTACCCGCCCCCCCCCCCCGTACTTTACACACTGATGTCAATCCCAGTGCACCTACTTTACCGGGAGTAACCGCGCCGTATCAGAATTGGAATATTTATTTATACTGCAGGAGGAATCCGATGAGCTACTAAGCTTTTTTCGCAGATGTCCGGTAGGGGCACGGGGTCAAAACGTTACAACAACAAACAATACAAAAAAACACAATAGCAGTGTGAAGTATAGGAAAGGTAAATAAATCACTTTCAATTTTTTACTAATAAAACGAACCTACTTTTTTTTTTATCTAACCAGGTCATGCACGATATATGATTGGTGGCTGGAGATGAGAAGACATAGTCCGAGATGTGGCGATGTGTGATTGGTGGCTGAGAATGACGTGACAAGGATGAGGGGAGGAGGAGGAAATGGGAGAGGGGACCGTGCGGATATTGGCGGACGTCGGAGGGGGAAGGACGAGAGGAGAGGGCTGTAGTTGAAGGAGGGAGCTGTGGATGGAGGGAGCTGTGGATGGAGGGAGCTGTGGATGGAGGGAGCTGTGGATGGAGGAAGCTGTGAATGAAGGAAGGAGCTGTGGATGGAGGGAGCTGTGGATGGAGGAAGCTGTGGATGGAGGGAGCTGTGAATGAAGGAAGGAGCTGTGGATGGAGGGAGCTGTGGATGGAGGAGGGAACTGTGGATGGAGGGAGCTGTGAATGAAGGAAGGAGCTGTGGATGGAAGGAGCTGTGGATGGAGGAAGCTGTGGATGGAGGGAGCTGTGAATGAAGGAAGGAGCTGTGGATGGAGGGAGCTGTGGATGGAGGGAGCTGTGGATGGAGGGAGCTGTGGATGGAGGGAGCTGTGAATGAAGGAAGGAGCTGTGGATGGAGGGAGCTGTGGATGGAGGGAGCTGTGGATGAAGGAGGGAGCTGTGGATGGAGGGAGCTGTGGATGAAGGAGGGAGCTGTAGATGGAGGGAGCTGTGGATGAAGGAGGGAGCTGTGGATGAAGGAGGGAGCTGTGGATGGAGGGAGCTGTGGATGGAGGGAGCTGTGGATGGAGGGAGCTGTGGATGGAGGGAGCTGTGAATGAAGGAAGGAGCTGTGGATGGAGGGAGCTGTGGATGGAGGGAGCTGTGGATGGAGGGAGCTGTGGATGAAGGAGGGAGCTGTGGATGGAGGGAGCTGTGGATGAAGGAGGGAGCTGTGGATGGAGGGAGCTGTGGATGAAGGAGGGAGCTGTGGATGGAGGGAGCTGTGGATGAAGGAGGGAGCTGTGGATGGAGGGAGCTGTGGATGAAGGAGGGAGCTGTGGATGGAGGGAGCTGTGGATGAAGGAGGGAGCTGTGGATGGAGGAGCAAGCTGTGGATGAAGGAACGAGCTGTGGATGAAAGAGCGAGCTGTGGATGGAGGGAGCTGTGGATGAAAGAGTGAGCTGAGAATGAAGGAGGGAGCTGTGGATGAAAGAGTGAGCTGAGAATGAAGGAGGGAGTTGTGGATGGAGGGAGTTGTGGATGAAGGAGCGAGCTGTGGATGAAGGAGCGAGCTGTGCATGAAGGAGGGAGCTGTGGATGGAGGGAGCTGAGAATGAAGGAAGGAGCTGAGGATGGAGGGAGCTGTGGATGAAGGAGGGAGTTGTGTATGAAGGAGCGAGCTGTGGATGAAGGAGCGAGCTGTGCATGAAGGAGCGAGCTGTGGATGAAGGAGGGAGCTGTGGATGGAAGGAGCTGTGGATGGAGGAAGCTGTGGATGGAGGGAGCTGTGAATGAAGGAAGGAGCTGTGGATGGAGGGAGCTGTGGATGGAGGGAGCTGTGGATGGAGGGAGCTGTGGATGGAGGGAGCTGTGAATGAAGGAAGGAGCTGTGGATGGAGGGAGCTGTGGATGGAGGGAGCTGTGGATGAAGGAGGGAGCTGTGGATGGAGGGAGCTGTGGATGAAGGAGGGAGCTGTGGATGGAGGGAGCTGTGGATGAAGGAGGGAGCTGTGGATGAAGGAGGGAGCTGTGGATGGAGGGAGCTGTGGATGGAGGGAGCTGTGGATGGAGGGAGCTGTGAATGAAGGAAGGAGCTGTGGATGGAGGGAGCTGTGGATGGAGGGAGCTGTGGATGGAGGGAGCTGTGGATGAAGGAGGGAGCTGTGGATGGAGGGAGCTGTGGATGAAGGAGGGAGCTGTGGATGGAGGGAGCTGTGGATGAAGGAGGGAGCTGTGGATGGAGGGAGCTGTGGATGAAGGAGGGAGCTGTGGATGGAGGGAGCTGTGGATGAAGGAGGGAGCTGTGGATGGAGGGAGCTGTGGATGAAGGAGGGAGCTGTGGATGGAGGAGCAAGCTGTGGATGAAGGAACGAGCTGTGGATGAAAGAGCGAGCTGTGGATGGAGGGAGCTGTGGATGAAAGAGTGAGCTGAGAATGAAGGAGGGAGCTGTGGATGAAAGAGTGAGCTGAGAATGAAGGAGGGAGTTGTGGATGGAGGGAGTTGTGGATGAAGGAGCGAGCTGTGGATGAAGGAGCGAGCTGTGCATGAAGGAGGGAGCTGTGGATGGAGGGAGCTGAGAATGAAGGAAGGAGCTGAGGATGGAGGGAGCTGTGGATGAAGGAGGGAGTTGTGTATGAAGGAGCGAGCTGTGGATGAAGGAGCGAGCTGTGCATGAAGGAGCGAGCTGTGGATGAAGGAGGGAGCTGTGGATGAAGGAGCAGTATGGGTAGTGCTCGGTGTAGTAATGGCTAGTGATAGGGCTAAGGGTAGGCCTGGTCATAGCTGGGAGGCAGGGCAGAGAGTAGCAGCAGGATGGACTAGCCCAAGGGTCGACAACCTGCAGCTCCGAAGCAGCATGCGGTGGCTCTTTAAGGACTGTTGCTTCGTGACGTTAATCATTCAGGACTAACACTGTCTTCGTTTTCACCACAGCGCATTGCGGCCACGTTGATCGAATTCGAAAAAAAATGCCTCTTTTTGTCACTTTCCGCAAAAATGTGTCGGATACTCAGTGGGGGCGGAGGGTAGACACGGGGGTGGGGGGAGGTGTGGATGGTGAAATCACCACATGACGTCACTTGCCCACCTGCTCGCCCACTGAAAAAAAACTAAAATAAAAGTTTAATTTTTAAATCCTTTATATTAAGTTCGCATGCTTGCTTGCTTGCGTGCTTGCTTGCTTACGACCGTGCAAATCTTTCGGTCGTTTTTTTAACCCACTTCCCGTGATCCAATCGAGCTGACATTTACCACACAGACTCGTTGTGCCAGACAATTAATGTTCGTGAAAAAAAATTCCCAAAATATGACACTTTTTAGGCAAAAAAAAATTATTTTACATATATTCAAATAGAACTCATTCATCGCTTTGGCTGAACGTCACAGTATAAGAACCCAGAGCGTAACCCCTCCACAGGCCGTGGCAGAGTAGCGCAGTTGGTAGCGCCCTCGCTTCCCATGCCAAAGGTCGCGGGATCGATCCCCGCGTCCTTCACATGCGAATATATTTTTAAATCCTTTATATTAAGTTCGCTGCCACGCATATAAAGGATTTATAGTGAAAAACTTTGTTTTTACGGGTTATACTTATTATTTTACCAGGTAAGGCGCCACTGAGCTGTATAGCTGCTTTTCAGAAATGACCTGGCCACAAATGATAGCTCAACGAAGTGGCTTATCACCCAACTAGTAAGTTTTGTCACGTAAACAGAACATGCAAATTCCTTACTAGTACAGCACACCGGTGTGTTGGAGAGCCAAGCCACAACATTTACAATCCCTCTACATTTTTCAAAAAAAAATTTAACGTGTCGGAAAAAAGCAGAGGACCCAGAGAAAAACATCCATGCTACCATGCGGAGAGAGACAAACTCCAAATATACAGTTTAACACATAAACTTTTTCGACAAATATCCATAATGCAGGTTTTTTGGGGTTAGATTGCATACGTATAAACGTGTCGTTAAACCCGCCACAACCTGACACAGCCAATTAGTAAGGTTTGTCATGTAAACAGAATATGCCAATTCATTACTAATAAATATACAGCAGGCGTCAGGGTCGGGATTGAGCCCATGACCTCCTGTATACCAGGCGAGGTTGTTAACATCTCGCCACCGTGGCACCCCCCCCCCCACCACCCCCACGACATGCCGGCCAGCCGGAAACTTTTATCCTAACATAATACGATGACATTTAGCCAGGAAAACGACGCGTTTTCTTTCAGGAGGGACCAGCTGCTACTTTGGGATGTTTTAGCCGATATCAGTTACAATGTCGTTGTTGTTGTTGTTTGTTTTTAGCTCGAGGAGGACATCAGAGAACACAGAGACAACGCAGGCAGAACAGGGGGAGAACAAAACAAACTCCGCACTGCAAGGCGACCGAGCTGGGCAATCAGACCCCGGCCCCTTATTGCTGTGAGGCAAAGCCGCAGCTATGGAGTCAACATTGGGGGGGACCAAATCTTTCAGAGGGTCTGGGGGTCCCCCCCCCCCCCAGAAAAAAATGTAAATTTGAAAACGAATTTCCTGCCATTTCCTGCCTAAAATAGTAAAAAATTCACTAACTCATAGGATGGATTTTATTTATTTACAATAATGTCTAATAGTGTATTGTATTACATGCCTCTGTTTTTTTCTTTTTTTACCTTTTCTTGTCTCATTGTATGTAATGGCAGAGATTAGGGATAAAAAAAGTACAACCATAACCACAATCATATAAACAGACATCTATTTTATAGCAATATATTGAAGGGGGGGGGGGGGACATTCTGAACATATTTGAATATTGGAGGGGTGGGGGGGAGGCACTGATGGTTACACCTGCTGCCACCCTCCCGCCCAAGATGGCTGCTGCTGTTGTTGTTGTCACATCGCTACCGGCGAGATGTCAACTACCTCGCCCGGGTTCAATCTCCTCCCCGAGGCCTGCAAATTTGGAGTTCGGACATCTCTCTCCCCGTTGGTCGCATGGGTTCCGGGTCCTCCAGTTCTCCCCTCCACATTTAGAATCAAAGTGCGTTTAGGGAATTTGGCTACCGCTGTACATTTCCACGTGATGATATTGATGATGTCACACTTCGTTGACTTCGAATTTGTGAAAGCCAGGTCGCTTCTGACAAAGGGTCACATATGAGCTCAGTGGGGCCTTAGGGGCCGGCCATAAATGACGTCACGCGATTTTGGACGATTTTTGCCCCCCCCCCCTTCGTCACACGGCGTCACAAATAGTCAGACCCCCCCCCCCCTCAAATATGACGTCACAAAGCTCTGCCCCCCCCCCACCCCCCAAAAAATAAAACATGCTTCAAATCGCTTTAAACTATTGCCGTTGTAGTGCGTATTTAATGTGGCGCTGCACTCTGATGTTGTAGGAGAAACATTTATATAAAAAAGTATATTTAAGTAAGTAGAACGTGTTGTGTATATTTATTTAAAGTTGCGCATTTTGATGTGACGTCACATTTCTCAAACCCACCCCCCCCCCTCGTCACACATCGTCACAAATGTCTGACCCCCCCTAGGTGCGTGACGTCATTTATGGACGGCCCCTTACCTGGTGGAACAAAAAAAAAATTCCTTGCCTACCTCCACCTTCTCTCTTCTCGCATCCCCCTGTTCCACTCACACGGCTTGGGGCGGCCGCTGTTTCTCGTTGTCTTCGCCGGGAGTTCGAACTCCGCATTCACAACGTGGCTCTGCGCTTATTCAGCAGCGGTTCTCAGACTTTGTTGGCGACTGTACTGCCCCCTTTTGTTGAATTTAGTTCCAAACAGAGGAGCCCCCCCCCCCCCCCCTTGCCTGACCCGACGTGGTGGTTCTGAGAAATCACCGTCTGAATAATGAACGTGAATATCTTAACCAATTGTCCACTTTGTGGGGTATTCTGGCCAGCCAAACTCAGCGGACGTTTCGATCGCAACATTTGCGATCGAAACGTCGTCGTTTTTTGTTATTTTTTTGTTATTTTCTTGGAACCTATCTACGTGACTTTACCGAAAGACCCAAAGCAGATGAGGGTGGGCTAGTTGTTGTTGGTGGTGGTGTTAGGGGGACGCAGTCGATTACTTTGTCCCACGTGACTCAAGAGCTCGCGCGGGATGATAATAATAATTGTTCAATTTGTAACGCGCGCAAATTTACAGACGTAGTGGCCGCAACTCAGAGGCGCGGAGCCAAGCTCAGAGTCGCTCAAAAGCACGTGATTGTAGAGGTGAGTTTTTAAATCTCTCTTGAAGGAGGCGATTGAGGTGATGCTGCGAATGTGCAGAGGGATATCGTTCCAGACTGTTGGGGCTGCCACCGAAAAACGGCGCATAGACACGATGACCATCCTGGATCTTGGTATCAAGAGGAGGTCGTGAGTAGTCGCGCTGCGCAGGCATCTGCCGTGTGCTGAGCTGCAAGTTGTGAATAATGAAGAAAGCTACGGCGGGCAGGCGGATATGAAGGCATTGTGGCAGAGGCAGGCGGTCTTGTATGTGACGTCCCGCGCAACCGCGCGGGACGTCCTCAGACGCAGCCTTCGAGCTCGCGCGCTCTGCGTCTGAGCGCGTGTCACGCCGATGATCGCTCCCGGAGCCTCATCCCACCCTGAAACGCCCGCGGATGCGTGTTTGTCAGCCGGCGTGAATGCCACCCCAAGCTCCGTCCGTGCGCGCATTAAGAACGACGCGCACGCTCGCTCCCTCCGATACGAGAGAGAGAGAGAGACGGGGATGAGATCATGATCCAGGAGGTGACGGTGTCACGTGGGAAGCACATACAGAGAACGTATTACGACTATTAATTTATATTTTTTACCAGGTTAAGGCCCCACTGAGATATTTAGCTGTTTTTGAGAAGCGATCTGGCCATCACAAATTATTGCTCAACGAAGTGGCGGCTTATCATCGAGTAGAAATTTACAGCAGCCAAATACTCCGAGCGAGTGTTGTCGATTCTAACTGGGGATAGGAAAAACCGGAGGACCTGGAGAAAAATCCACGCGACCACGGGGAGAGAGAGAGACACCACAACCTCCAAATATACAGCAGCAGATGTGAGGGTTGGGATCGAACCCACGTCCTCCTGTACACCAGGCGAGGTAGTTAACATCTCCTAGCCACCGTGATGATGATGAGAGAGAGAGACACGCAAACTCCAAATACAACAGGCATCAGGGCCGAGATCTAACCCACGACCTCCTGTATACCAGGCGAGGTCGTTAACATCTCCTAGCCACCGTGATAATGATGATGAGAGAGAGAGACACGCAAACTCCAAATATACAGCAGGCGTCAGGGTCGGGATCAAACCCGCGACCTCCTGTATACCAGGCGAGGTAGTTAACATCTCCTAGCCACCGTGATGATGATGATGAGAGAGACACGCAAACTCCAAATATACAACAGGCATCGGGGCCGAGATCGAACCCACGACCTCCTGTATACCAGGCGAGGTCGTTAACATCTCCTAGCCACCGTGATAATTATGATGAGAGAGACACGCAAACTCCAAATATACAACAGGCATCGGGGCCGAGATCGAACCCACGACCTCCTGTACACCAGGCGAGGTAGTTAACATCTCCTAGCCACCGTGATGATGAGAGAGAGAGAGACGCAAACTCCAAATATACAACAGGCATCGGGGCCGAGATCTAACCCACGACCTCCTGTATACCAGGCGAGGTTGTTAACATCTCCTAGCCACCGTGATAATGATGATGAGAGAGACACGCAAACTCCAAATATACAACAGGCATCGGGGCCGAGATCGAATCCACGACCTCCTGTATACCAGGCGAGGTAGTTAACATCTCCTAGCCACCGTGATGATGAGAGAGAGAGAGACGCAAACTCCAAATATACAGCAGGCATCAGGGTCGTGATAAAACGCACGACCCTCCTGTACACCAGGCGAGGTAGCTAACATCTCCTAGCCACCGTGATGATGATGATGATGAGACAGACGCAGACTCAATTCACAGCAGGCATCTTCAGGGTCGAGATCGAACCCACGACCCTCCTGCACACCAGGCGAGGTAGCTAACATCTCCCAGCCACCGTGATGATGATGATGAGACAGACGCAGACTCAATTCACAGCAGGCATCTTCAGGGTCGGGATCGAACCCACGACCCTACTGCACACCAGGCGAGGTAGCTAACATCTCCTAGCCACCGTGATGATGATGAGACAGACGCAGACTCAATTCACAGGAGGCATCATCAGGGTCGAGGTCGAACCCACGACCCTCCTGCACACCAGGCGAGGTAGCTAACATCTCCCAGTCACCGTGGTGATGATGATGATGATGAGACAGACGCAGACTCAATTCACAGCAGGCATCTTCAGGGTCGAGATCGAACCCACGACCCTCCTGCACACCAGGCGAGGTAGCTAACATCTCCTAGCCACCGTGATGATGATGAGACAGACGCAGACTCAATTCACAGGAGGCATCATCAGGGTCGAGGTCGAACCCACGACCCTCCTGCACACCAGGCGAGGTAGCTAACATCTCCCAGTCACCGTGGTGATGATGATGATGATGAGACAGACGCAGACTCAATTCACAGCAGGCATCTTCAGGGTCGAGATCGAACCCACGACCCTCCTGCACACCAGGCGAGGTAGCTAACATCTCCTAGCCACCGTGATGATGATGAGACAGACGCAGACTCAATTCACAGGAGGCATCATCAGGGTCGAGGTCGAACCCACGACCCTCCTGCACACCAGGCGAGGTAGCTAACATCTCCTAGCCACCGTGATGATGATGATGATGAGACAGACGCAGACTCAATTCACAGCAGGCATCTTCAGGGTCGAGATCGAACCCACGACCCTCCTGCACACCAGGCGAGTTAGTCAACATCTCCTAGCCACCGTGGCTCGCCCACCAGCGTACCGTGGGCCTGCCGGTAGCCGTGGAGGCGAGCGCCGGGCCCCGCGACGTAGTAGGGCCCCTGCACGGGGGCCCCGGGGCCGTCCAGGTGGTTGAGGAAGGCGTCCAACTCGTCGGCCGGCATGAGCTGCCCGGCCGCCCCGGACTCAGGCCCGTAGCCGCCGTGGCCTAGGTTGGACTCCACGCCGTGGTGGTGGCCGTGGTGGTGGTGGTGCTGGCCCGGGGCGAGCGTCGCAGAGGGCCCGTGCGGGTGTCCGAGCCACCGGCCACCCTGCTCGACGCTCCCTTCCATCGCGACGGCGGTGGAGGAGGTCTATGCCAGCGCTTCTGCAAGGAGGAGGGTGGTGGAGGTGGTGGAGGTGACAATGGTGATTATGGTGATGGTGGTCGTGGTGTCAGCACGTGTCCATGGTGGTGGTGTTTATAGCGGTGGTGGTGGTCGTATTGATGGTAGTTTGGTGGTGGTAGTCGTGGTGGCATCGGGGAAGATCGGGAATGAGGTAAGTGGGAGAGAGAGAGAAACACAGGTGAGAAACGGACATGAGCTGCGAAAGCAAAATAAGAATATAACAATTTAATTCTTCCACGATCGCTTTGTCAATCCACTGCTGGGTGAAGGTCTCCCCACTCCGCATCGGTCACGTGGGCTGTTTGACCATACTTCACCCTGCCGGTGAAGTGCGCGTCCAGAGGGGGTGCTCAGGGGTCGTCGGATATCACTCGCCACTGATGTTGGCCGTGGCCGAGTATCAAACTTAGGCTGGCCAGGTTCACAGCGTAGTCTCTGGGAGTGTAGGGTCTCTGAGTGAGTTTACGGGTCACTATGTAACTATATGGGTATCTATGTAAGTATATGGGTCTCTATGTACGTCTATGGGTCTCTATGTGTGAGTTTATGGGTCTCTATGTGTGAGTTTATGGGTCTTTATGTGTGTTTACGGGTCACGATGTGAGTCTATGGGTCTCTATGTGTGAGTATACGAGTCTCTATGTAAGTCGATGGGTCTCTATGCGTGAGTTTATGGGTATCTTTGTAACTATATGGGTATCTATGTAAGTATATGGGTCTCTGTGTACATCTATGGGTCTCTTTGTGTGAGTTTATGGGTCTCTATGTGAGTTTATGGGTCTCTATGTGTGTATATGGGTCTCTTTGTTTGAGTATACGAGTCTCTATGCAAGTCTATGGGTCTCTATGTGTGAGTCTATGGGTCTCTTTGTGTGGAAATGGGTCTCTATGTGTGAGTCTATGCATCTCTATGTTTGAATATACGAGTCTCTATGCAAGTCTATGGGTCTCTATGTGTGAGTTTATGGGCCTCTATGTGTGAGTCTATAGGTCTCTTTGTGTGGAAATGTGTCTCTATGTGTGAGTCTATGCGTCTCTATGTTTGAATATACGAGTCTCTATGCAAGTTTATGGGCCTCTATGTGTGAGTCTATGGGCCTCTATGTGTGAGTCTATGGGTCTCTTTGTGTGGAAATGTGTCTCTATGTGTGAGTCTATGCGTCTCTATGTTTGAATATACGAGTCTCTATGCAAGTCTATGAGTCTCTATGTGTGAGTCTATGGGTCTCTATGTGTGAGTCTATGGGCCTCTATGTGTGAGTCTATGGGCCTCTGTGTGCGTCTAATGGTCTCTATGTGTGAGTCTATGGGCCTCTATGTGTGAGTCTAAGGGTCTCTATGTGTGAGTCTATGGGCTTCACTGTGTGAGTCTATGGGTCTCTATGTGTGAGTCTATGGGTCTCCGTGGTGTCAGCACGGTTGGCATTGAGCCCCCCTTTGCCCGGGGTGTCCTCTCGACCCTGGGCCCCCTACACCTTGTGGTGGGCAACCGGCGCAGTTGCACCGCCTGCGCACTCCGTGGCGGGGTCGCGACACTGGGCGGGCTTCTTTAATTTGGAACGCGTCGCATTTTTGTGTCCTTGCCAGAAGTGCTCCAGAGACGGCGGGGATTTTGGGAGTGTGGGAGCGCGGGGGAGGAGCGGTGGCGCTGTGGTTAGGGCACTGCGCTACGAACCAGACGACCCAGGTTTGACTCCAGCTCACGCGGCCCAACAGCGGCGTGGATAATATCTGAACCGGTCCGACGTCTCCGCACGCATCAAAAGAGTCACCTGGTGCGGTGTGTAAGCAACAGCGGTGGGGAGACAAAGGCGGCCGGGCGTGGTGTCTGACACGCCACCCCCACGTGTGCCGTGCCGGCCTTCATCGGTGCTACTCGAAAACAGCACTTGCCCCAGCAGTCTGTTAGAGGCTATACGGGGGATCTTTGTTCCCTTTATAAAAACGAAACGTCTCATCGACCGTAATTGCTGTCAAACGTTCTGCCCGTCGTGCAGTCAGTGTCACACACACACACACGCGCGCGCACGCGCGCACGAAAGACAAAGATCCCCCGTATAGCCTGAACAGACTGTTGGGACAAGTGCTGTTAGCGAGGACCTTTGAAGGCCGGAACGGCACACGAGAGGGTGGGTGGCCAGCACCACGCCCGGCCGACTTTGTTTCCCGCATCAGGTACTCATTTGAGGCTGAGTTGACCTAGGGGAGACCCATGACCAGTTCAGATAATCGTCACTGGGTGTTGGCCGTGAGCGGGAATCGAACTTGGGTGGCCGGGTGCGTAGCGCAGCGCGCTAACCACTACACTACCGCTCCCCGCACACACGTACACACACACGCGAACACACACACACGCGTACAGACACACACACGTACACACACATAGGCGTATACACACACACACGCGTATACACACACACGCGTATACACACACACACGCGTATACACATACACACACGCGTATACACACACACACGCGTATACACACACACGCGTATACACACCTACACACGCGTATACACACACACACGCGTATACACACACACACACGCGTATACACACACACACGCGTACAGACACACACACACGTACACACACATAGGCGTACACACACACGCGTATACACACACACACGCGTACAGACACACACACACGTACACACACACAGGCGTACACACACACGCGTATACACACACACACGCGTATACACACACACGCGCATACACACAGATGCTCGCGTTTACGTGTGTGTGTGCAGTAGTGCAGCAGTTAGCGCTACGAACCCGAGCTCGATTCCTGGCCACGGCCAACACCGGTGACGATTATCTGAACTGGTCCTGGGCCTCCCCTAGGTCGACTCAGCTTCAATTGAGTTGCGGGGAGACAAAGGCGGCCGGGCGTGGTATCGGCCACCCACCCACTCGTGTGCCGTTCCGGCCTTCATAGGTGCTCGCTAACAGCACTTGCCCTAACAGTCAGTCCAGGCTATACGGTGGGTCTTTGTCTTATACGATAATAAAATATATACCGGAGATCCCCGCTTTTACGACACAATAAATCCATGGAACTCCCTTCATATAACGAGCCCGTTTTCCCATAGTACAAACAGGAAAAACGCCAGTTGACGATGTTGTTGCGTTTTTTTTCCCTTTCCGTGTTTAACAGGGGGGGGGCGTTTCATTTGACAAAAAAAAAATCCACACGAAAAAAACCCTTGAGAAGAGCAAAAGCGCCGAAGCCACATCGGAAACCAGACAGAATGTGGGTTCGGAGTCGTGTCAGAAGCTGCGAGTTTTGACGGCGTAAATAGAACCGGTGATATTTAACGTCGTAAATCGGGTACACGCTGTAAAATATACAATAACCTCTTCTTGGTTCTTTCGGTAAAGTCACGTAGAAGGGAAGTAAGTATTTTATTACTTCCCTTCTACGTGACTTTACCGAAACAACCAAGAAGATGAATCCCTGCAGTCACGAAAGCTTTAAATCGAAAAATACAATAACCTGTATCTGTCCTCCTGTACGTGTATATGTATCTGTCTATGTGTATGTATGTATGTGTATATGTCCATTTCTATGTGTGTGTGTGTCTCTGTATGTGTATCTGTGTGTATGTACGTGTATGTCTTTTTCTGTGTGTGTGTGTTTCTGTGTGTGTCTCTGTATGTATTTACGTGTATATGTCTTTCTCTACGTGTGTGTGTGTGTCTCTAGTCCGGCAAAACAACTTCCTACCTGCTCATGGTGCCGGACGGGCAATGCTATCTTGGGCAGTGCTGTGGGGGGAGGGCCAATTCCGATTGGCCTTTCCCCTCATGGCATTTGTGACCACCACAGTGACCAAAAGGGGGCTATGGATGGGTGCGAGAGGCTGGTAACCCCTCCACCTTAAATTAATTACCACTAAACCACGACGGAAATTTTTAATTAATAAGCTTGTGCCAGAGGCCCCGGGGGGACAGCTGTCTATGACCTCTACTGGCCAAACTCCATTTGGCGGAGCCAGGAGATTGAATCTTTACCCTCGGGGCTCCTCCAGAAACAACAAAAAACCACTGCGTGTGGCCACGTGGAGTTTTCGAACGCTCACTGCGGAGGAGAGGCTGCCACTCCTCTGTTGGGAGCTGGACCGGTACCGCCTGAATCTCTGTGGTATTCAGGAGGTCCGGTGGACCGGCTCTGGGGGGCGTGGGAGCGTGGCATTGAGGTGTTGGAAGCTGTAAGCCCCAGGCTACTTTAGGTTCGCCTTCCCATCAACCAGAGGTGAGGAGTGGTGGTCGTGGTTACTTATGCCCCCACTGAAGACGAACATCCGTGAAGGGATGCAAGCAAGGCCGATGAGTCAGATGCCTTCTATGACCTCCTGTCACAGGTGCTAGCTAAAGTGGCCCCTCGGGATAGAGTCATCTTGTTGGGCGACTTCAATGCCCGAGTTGGTCATGATGCTGGCACCTGATCTGGAGTGATTGGAAGGCATGGGCCAGATCAGCTCAATAAAAACGGCAGGAGGCTGATAGATTTTTGTGCAGCTCATGGGCTTGTAATTACCAACACGCTGTTCTGGCATCGGCGCATCCACACATCATGGATGCATGCCGGGTCCAAGCAAGAACATCTGCTCACTAAATAGTGACGAAACAGCAGATGCGGACCCATGTCCTTGACACCAGGACCTACCGTGGAGCTGATCTGCCCACTGACCGTCGACTTGTCATCTGTAAGATGCGCCTGCCATTCTTCTACTCCAGTGGTGGGTGTACACACAGGACCCCATTCAAACCCTTAGTGACATGGTCTCAGCTAGCTTATGAAAGTTGCAAGCGAGAATTTAATCATCGCTTGCAGCTGGGGTTGGCATTGTCCACCACTCCTCCTGTTGTCGTGGGGAAATGGGCGAGGTATAGGACTGACTCATGTAGCTGCAATGGCTGCTTTGGGTACACGGTCCAGACCTCCCCAGAGACCCTGGCTGACAGAG